ACAACTTCCCTTTATAACAACCCTAGTGCACGCAGTGGTATGTGTGGAGTTTCAGATAAAAATGGCCCTTTTGTTGTGATATTTGGGACTTCTGCCATTTGTATGAGATTATGCTCACAGACTGATGAGATTTAGGGAAGTGAATGTGAATGCAGCTTATTTCTTCCCCTGGTTTCTGAGCAGCTCCCTGCCATGTGTTAACTTGCTGCGGAGAAGCTGCTGAAATTGGCTTCATAGACTGGGCTGTTTTTCTCTTATGTCCAATTCTCGCTCAAAAGACTTCTAGTTAAAAAAAAATAAAAATGTATTAAAAACATTGTGGAAATAGTAAAGAATATTGATCCTTTTTTTTTTTTTGCAACTTGGTCAAAGACAAAGTAGGTCAAAATACTCTGTTTTTTTTTATGTGACTTTTATAGATATCCCAGTGTCGTAGGAACCCCTTGGTAGGATTTGTTTTGGGAGCCCCGTTGTGGTTTACATCATGCATATGTTTTAATAAAAAAAAGCATTGACTAAATTGCAGACACAAACATTGTTATTTCTCTGACCTTGTCCGAGTTTAATACAGGTTGTAAGGTTTTCTCCTGGGAGCGCATCAGAGTATTAAAACAAAAACCTCTTTGCATCTTGAAGAACTTTTCTGTTACTTATTAACAAATCCAGTAATGAGCGGCATGCTGGCGTGGTGTGCTCACTGTAATTAAATATAGCTGTATGTGTTACTTACCAGATGACACCACCTGATGACCTGATGCCAGATTAAAGGGCTTTTTAGGTGTGAGTGTGTGTGTGTGTGTGTGTGTGTGTGTGTGTGTGTGTCTGTTTTTTTTTTTTTTTTTTAAGGAGTTACTATTTTCTTGTCAGACTTCATCACTGAAAATTCTGTAGATAATGTAGATAATAAAGAGAATAAATACAAGTAATTAGAAAAATTAAATAAAATACAACTTTTACATAGTGCATTTGCCTGGAATAAAAATAAAAATATTAATAAAGAATGTGTATTGAGCGACGAAACCTGGAATGAATTATTTAGTATTTTGTTTGCTTTTTTGTTTTTCCAGAATAATGTTTGTGAGGGCCGGGGGTGGGTGAAGGGGGAGTGGGCGTTTGGACAGGCTCCTCCAGAAGTCATTTAGTCATTTATTCAAGACCCGCCTCTGGAGTCCAGTTTACAAAGTTTCACTGTAGAGTTGGAAAACTGGGGCAATTTCTATTTCTTCATTATGAATCAATTTGTAGCTGCACCGTGAATGAAATGTGGCTCTGGTGCAGGTAAAAAAAAAAAAAAAAGCAGCGGCCAGTGTTGAACTGGCAACATTAAAACACGTCCACACTGTTAAGATATGTATAAAGAATTATTTCTATCCATAATCATACGGGTCTTTTCGTGCAGACAAATCTGCACATTTTCATATTAACCTTTTGGTTTGCCTGGATATGCGTCACAGCTTCTAAAATAAAATAAATAAATAAACAACGAGCGAAATTGGGACTTAAGCAAAATGGGTCAATTCAGAGCCAGCCCGAAGCAGTTGAGAACTAAGCTGCAGCTTATTAACCCCATCAAAAAGATGACTCAAAAGTGCTCAACACAGAATATCTTTTTTTGAAAAAAAGCTTAATTTGTACTTATACTGGCCTTTGGAAAGTCTGCTTTTGAGCTGGTTTGACTGTTTATAAATAGTCTATTTAAAATTGTTATTTAAATAGCATTTAAAGCTATTTAAATATCCACCAGTGTTGCATACTTTTAAATCCAACACACATAAAGTCACAATCATACGGAGAAAAATATTTGTGGGAGATGTATATGAACATTTGCCATTTTTTTGCCCACATTCAATACTGTCTTTTCGTGTCTCCGTCGGAGTCACTCAGTGTCACTAATGATAAATAATAATTTCGGTTTTCGGTGATTGTTCGAACGCGCAACCAATTAAATACCAAATCAGATCCGTGAGAAGCCAGAGATTTATTCGATTTAAATAAATCATGAAATCAGGGGTGTTCATTTTAATATCATTTCTCTTCTTAGGGTCCCGCTCAGTGGGCCATGCGCAGATCAATTACGGAGCTTTTTGGATCAGAATCCCCCAAACATTTTATGCATGCAAAAACTACGTTTTAAAACTGTGAATTCATTATTTTATTTTTTTAATCAGTTTAAGTGGGCAGCTCAAATGAATGTTTTCAGAATAGCTGCTTGGTTTATTTTTAGCTGTATATATATATATAATATATATATATATATATATATATATATATATATCCTTTTTTTTTTTTTTTTTTTTTTTTTTTATTATTAATGAACATTTCTCTGATCGTGTCTGTGGACCCAACACTATTCCTCGACTGCTCTTCAAGCTTAGATTAAAAAAACAAAACAAAAACAATAACAGCAGAAAAAACAACGTGCCTTTTTTCCCCCCTCCAAATTGCAGCGTTTAGGTTGTTAAATAAAAAAAGAAGCAGGTTTGGGGGTCATTATCGCAGCGCAGTCAAAATCAGACATAAACCGATAAAGAAGAGTTTTTTTTTGTTTGTTTGTTTTTAAGTTTCTCCTCTTTCGGCCCCCAATTCCCTGAAACGTGGGCTACGCCTTCCGGCCTACAAGCTATGAACTTGAGCCATAAAGATTTACAGCCTCAAAAGGTGGGAAAACTCCATTAAAATAAAAATGGGTGCTCACATTTATTTGGTCCTGCATTCCCCCCCTGCTCGCGTGCTCTCGGGAGAAAATGAACTTTGACGCGACAGCTTTGAAGCCATCCCTGTCAGATCTTTGCTTCTTGCTTTCACGTCTCCTGGTGTTCATCCAGCCTCCCCTCCCCCAATTCACCCATTAGGTTAACTTTACAGATTCACCCCCAAATAATAAAAAAAACAAGACAACAGGAGTCACCGGCTTTATTTTAGTGTCGGTCTGAGTCACTTTTTTTTTTTTTTTCACTTTAGCGTTTTCACGACTCACTCTTCAGTCTGTGTTGGGGAAAAAATGAATAAAGAAAGAAAGAAAGAGTGGGGCCTGCAATAAGAGGAGCCTAACCTGTTGCTCTAATCGCCTCCTCGGTTCTTCCTGACTGGACTGCAACTTTCAACTTGACCTTGGCCTCCGGTCGCGTCTCTGACTTGCAGATGGGGGAGGAGGGCGACCATTTGTGCAATGTCTTGCATACACTCTTCCCTAATCCCAGAGCCACAATAGCGGATAGTATTATTATATTTAAAGAACTATTTTATTGGGGTATAAAATCTCCTAGGCGCTGGACCCCCATCCCCTCCTCTCTCCCCCCTCTGAATAATGTAATTAAAGAAACACAAAAATTTGCCAGAGAAGCTGTAACCAGAGGAGACTGTAAGATCCCACACAGAAAAAACGCCTTTGGGCATATTTAGTACACTGTACCCATATAACTGAGAAACAGTGCCTCGTATAAACAGTTCTCTGGAGGTTCTTTGTTTGGCTGTTTCAGTGGATGTCGAGCATTTTATTATTATTATTATTATTATTATTATTATTATTATTATTATTATTATTATTATTATTATTATTATTATTATTATTAAAGCCTGTCATGTTGTAGCAATTTAGTCAGATGTCAGTTTGTTTATGTGCTTAAATCTGGGACAAATGTATATGACTCTTTTGAAGAATACACTAAAATATGAATGAAATTTTGATGCAAAAAAAACATGTATCCATAGTTAAGTGGATAGGTTGAGTGGGAAAGTGGTATTTCACATGTTTTTAAATGTACATAAGTGTTCTCGTTTTCCACATATTTTCATGTACAGTAGATTTTGTGTGTGTGTGTGTGTGTTTGTGTGTGTGTGTTTGTGGAGCAAAGATAACAAAGCTATTCCAGCAAAGTAAATGTTTGCATTTAAAAGACTGTTTAAATTATTTATATATGTAAAGAAAAAAGAAAAGACCAAAACAAGCCGACATTTTTTGTCCTGTGTTTGGATCGTGTGAAGCTGTGTCGGTTGCACATCTATTTAAAGCTGCATTCAACCTATCACTTCTGCACCCAAAACAAATTTTACATTTCCCTCTGTGAAAGTTGCCTGCAAGCTCGAATCGCTTGTTTTGTGGTCAAACTGGAAACGAGCCGATATACGCCGAGAACATCGCACTATTTTGTTTTAGGCCTATTTGCATTTTTTTTTTTAGATGTTTGCTACAAAACCGTTATTAGTACTGATTCGAAAGCGTTGCTTTTGATTTAAGGCGCGAGCAGATGGTCGATGGCACCAAACAATTAAAGCCATGACATCACATCTCGATGATTCGGTCCTCAGAACAAAAAGATGCCAAACTGCTCGTATCAGTGCGCACCGCTTCCACAGAGCACCAAACGTCTGCGCGGAACACCAAAAAATGCAGAGTTTGATTTGACACTTCATTTTTATTGCATGTATAAATCTGTCTTAAACATTGACTTTAAGCCTAATACATACAGTGATGTTCAACGAAACTGAAATCAATTAAACACATGGCATATTTGATGTTTGCAACAAGGAGATACCACTGTATAATTGTGCACTAACTCCGAGAGAGAGAGAAAAAAAGAAAAACATAATTTTCGGTCCTGGCACACACACACGCAAACACACACACCTACACACACAAAATAAACTGAATCTCAGTCAATAATCATTTATGTGGTTAAACAGCAAACAAATAAAAACGTGTCGATCAGCATGAGATTTCAAAATCAATTTCAGATCCTAATAAATACTACTACTAATAATAATAAAAAAAACACAGTGTCTTGGCAGACGGATTGAAGAAGTCAGTGTCTTTGCAAACATAGAGCCCTATCGGTATTATCAGATGTCGAGACGTTTATCATCTCCTTTGCATATCACGTGTTTGGCCCTGGCCAATAACCTCCCGATCTCCGAGCACTCTGGCGTGCTGGTATCGTTACTCAGCCCTGGGTCCCTGTCTCGGCTCAGTCGAGGGGATTTATGAAAAAGAGCTGCTCCTCTCCTCCCATGTAGGACATGCTATGACCGCCTCGTTACTCCTCGGCTCGCCCTGGATCGACCCGGTCATGTTCCTCTACGACGGCGGCTCACAAGAGGAGAGAAGCAAGAACATGGAAGGCTTCACAGGTGGGAACTTCGCGGCAAACCAGTGCAGGAATCTGCTGGCGCATCCAACCTCGCTGGCTCCCAGCACCACCTACGCTGCAAGCGACGTGCCAGTCTCTGGGGTGGGGGAGCCTGGCAAGCAGTGCAGCCCCTGCTCCGCCACTCAGAGCTCGCCCAACGCTTCTCTGCCCTACGGATACTTTGGCAGCGGCTACTACCCGTGCAGGGTGTCACACGGCGGCGTCAAGGCATGCGCGCAGCCCTCCGGTTACGGGGACAAATACGCGGACTCTTCGGTCTCCGGTGAGGCGAAGGAGTTTGCCTTCTACCAGGGATATTCCTCCAGCCCCTATCAGACCAGCTACCTGGACGTGCCGGTGGTACCTGCGCTGAGTGCGCCGCCCGAGCCAAGAGAGTCTCTGCTGCCCATGGAGCCCTATCAGCCCTGGGCCATCACTAACGGGTGGAGTGGTCAGGTTTACTGCACCAAGGAGCAATCGCAGGCAAACTCTCTGTGGAAATCTTCATTACAAGGTATATTACTAGGTAAAGATTCAGTTCAAATATCATGTGTTGATGCAAAAATTTTATTTTCAAGCAAAAAAAAAAAAGGGCATTTGTTAGTTTTACATTTAATTCCGCAGTCGCGTGTTTTCTGGAGTCTAACGCTGCATTTCTTTTTCCACCCACAGACTCCTTATCCGGTGGTATGGACAGCTCGGTCCGTCGTGGGAGAAAGAAACGCGTGCCATACACAAAGGTGCAACTCAAAGAACTGGAGAGAGAGTACGCCACCAACAAATTCATCACCAAGGACAAAAGGAGACGGATATCCGCGCAGACGAACCTGACAGAGAGACAAGTGACGATCTGGTTCCAGAACAGGCGGGTAAAGGAGAAAAAAGTTGTCAATAAGTTCAAGAGCTCTAGTTAGCTCTGGAGACATTCCCAAGACGTGGAAAGCGCGGACGCGGGTGCGCTTTCAGCAGTGGAAGAGAGAGAGACAGAAAGAAAAAAAGAGAAAAAGATAGAAAACTGTGCTATAATTTATTCCATTTATGAACTGTTACACACTGTCGCCGGAACGACTCTGGTTTGAACTATAACGTTTCCTTCCTCGTTTTAATTGGAACCAGTCCGTGGGGCCTGTTGGCAGAAGGTCGGAAGAGATCTTGAGTTTGAAGCGACGTTTGCGGGACGTTTCTAGTCTCCATCCCGACGAGCATTCCGACAAATATTCTGCATTGAGACGGGCGAACCACCAGCAACTTGTGCGCATTTTCCCTTTAAAAAAAGAAAAATATAAGGTTGAAGCGCACGAATGAAAAAAAAATAAAACACCAACAAAAAACAAACAAAAAAACACATTTGGTTTCAGACTGTGGTAAAGAGTAACAAAAGCAGGTATTTATCATAAAATTATTCAAATACTGCATTTGCAGTATTTGTATCCGAATGTTTAGCTCCATCCCAAATTTATTTGAGAAATGAATTTTCCTATTAAATCAGCTTTCATCACATCTTTCATTCTCAGCGGGTTACCTATGAAACTTTACCAAGCGTTTCATTAGGATTTCCAAAGTTTCAATCAAAGGCGCCTTCGGAACCTTTGCAGAGGGGTGGCCAGATGGTCTCCGCTGATAATCTTGGCGCGGGACCTTGAAACCAAAAGCTTAAACTGAATTTTCTTCTTTTTTTAATTTTATTTTATTGTGCAATCGTTTAGAGTTAGGACGATAGGGTTCGGGGGGTATCAAAGATGGCACACCATGAAACACCAGAACGGACATTAAAAAAGTAATTATTTATATAAAAAAATAAACAAATAAAAATATGTTTTGCTTTTTTTCTCTCTTGTGCGGAACTCATTCTAAAAAAAATAAAAATAAAAAAGAAACAACAAAAAAAAACAAAACAAAACAGGAGGTTACCCGCAAACATGTAAAGAAGGCCTCTGGCACCTTTGCCCCCACCCGTTGGTGGCGCCACTGATTTTAAGAGTTTGCCAGTTTGTCTGAAAAAGGCATGTACATGCCCTTTTTCCCCCCTATTGCTCTCGCATTTACATTTTGTCTTCCTGCTTACTCTTCAAGAAGAAAAAAAATCTACATGAATGGATGAACCTCACCAAAACATGTGTAAATATTTTCTGCGCAACCGAGTCAGTTTTCTGTTTCTTATCCATAAACCAACGTTTTTTTTTTGTTTGTTTGTTTGTTTGTTTTTTTTTTTTACAATATATGTTTGACACACACTATAAGTACGTTGCTGTCGCGAGAGTTTCATTTATCTTTCTGTTTCGTGAGAAAATTCGAATAAAGTGATTGACTGCGGTTTCAAATGAAAATATGATTTATATTGTCTGGTATGACGATGGAAGTGTTAACAGGCCAACAGTTTGATTCAGGTCCCAGTATTTATCACAGAGACTCTATGTCGCCATCTAGCGGCGAATCTTTGTCTGCGCAGTTTTCCTGCCTATGGGCTGCGGTTTCTCGAATCCGTCGCTGTTTTTGTTGGGCGCTCCTCGATTTGCCACTTCTCACTCGACTTAAGGTCTTTCCTGTAATGGGGAGGTTTCGTAAGTTGGTGTACTGCATTGAAGTGTAGTTACGTGACCTCAATAAATAATATATATCAGCAATAAGTTGCTGGGATTTATTGTGGCTTGACCAGGGTTTACAGTGTCACACTTTAGAGTCGACCATTTTACGCGGCTCTTACAACGTAACCAAACACGAACAAACAAATGACGAAATTACACCGCAAAACGCGAACCGGTCATATTGAATAAACTGTAATGTTATTGGAAAGTTCATTTATTTCAGTGACTCAATTCACTGAGTGCAACGCATTACAGCAATTACACACAGACTGGTGATGACTATGATTTTCCTCTTATACAGTTAGTAAAACACAACATTTAAGGTTAGAAGATTACATTAGACTGACACAAAATGTTTTTTATTCAAAAATATGGGCTTTATGGAAAGCATGCTCGAGTTGTGCTTGTGGGTTATTATTTCCAAAATGCAGGCCACTTGCAATCTGACAAACTGCATTGTCAGAAGGTATTCAAAAATAATTACAAATGCATTCATATATCCTGTAATTGAGATTTTTTTTTTTAGCACTATGATTCATCACACTGTAACCACCTGCGAGTGACACACGAAGGTTTGGAACATGGGTGTGAAACGGTTGCTTTTATAAGCTACATGATGGAAGCAGACAGAAAGTGGCAACAATGCAAGCATGAACTCTAAGGAGAATCTGCATGAGCAAAGAGAGAAGTTGACTGAGTCGCTCATGTCATTTTCGAAGATTACATTTACACTTTTTCCTCAATGGCAACAGCATTGCTAAGATGTATTTTTTTTATTCTGATGCTTAACCCACTGTATGTGTATTGTACATATATTTAAGCTAAGAAAACCTCCATTAAGAAATAAAATGAGCAAAACTCTGTTACAGTCATTGATTCTTCGGGTATAGTGAAAATAAAAGAAAGCTTAGATTAAATATGATTCATTTCAGTTTATGTAGAGAAACATGTTTGATGAGGGCACATTGCCGTCCATCTGAACTCAGAAGACAGTGATACGGACGGCTTTTATCACGGTTTGGTGCTCAATAATAAACACGCTGGTTGGGTGTTTTATATTCCACATTCTTATCGGAAAACCTCTACATGAATACTCCATCTTAACTGCTTTCACTTAAATCTTTATGTGACAATGTTCCTCTTTGACCTTGCTGCCACGTTATTGTTTGGTGTCATTGCGCCCCCCACTGGTGAATCGGGGTACCCAAACATGCAGGCCTGAACTCTCCAAGCGCTGCACGCCCATGAACATGCTTTTATGGCCGTTCCAGGTTGGTCAGCTCTCTCTCTGTGCAGCCCAGGAAAAAAACATTCTGAAAAGCTGCCTTTTCAGGCGACACACACATTGTTCAAATTAGGCCTAAACACAGATGCCACCTCCTCAACTATGTTTAATGGTCGGTGAATGCCTTTTAACTTTAATAGTAACTTCATCTTCTCCATGTCTGTCCGACGAATTGCGCCTTAAAACCAGAATCGATCATTATTAGGACAGCAGCAGAAGATAAGAACCAATAAAATGCATCAATGTAGGTATATCTTTTTTTTTTGTTTGTTTTCAGGACATTTTTATACCATTCAGTCACAAAGAGACTTTGCATTTTTTTTGTGAGTGTGCGTGTGTGTGTGTGGTGATTCTGAGAGAACCACCAGGCTGATCTCGTGCAGACGACTGGTCACACTGTTTAGAGAAAAGTGCTCATAATAAGTCACATCTTTCGTATATTTCAGCGCGTTCCCCTGCGCTTTTCTTTCTTAGTGACACCTCCCATTCAGCTTTTGTTTTCATTCACTAGTTTCTATAAAATTATACAACCAATTAGTCTCTAAGACTTCAAAATGCTGTGGTGAGAACACAACAAGGAGGCGATATTTGACAAAAATAAAAACTGAGTAATCTACGACTAAAAGATTTCAGCCTGAATTTAATTTAATTTAATTTAATTTTCAATTATTTAATTTTTAATTAATTACTTATCAATGGGCCTGGTTGCCCATAAAGCGCATTTTATTTGGTTTTCCAAATATTTCTGACAAAAACACTTGCCATTTACTTCTCGAGTGGGGTGAAGACCCAGCAAAAGACAGAGAGGCGCGCAACTTTCGGAAAGTTCAACTGAAATAAAAGCGATGACTGGCAAACCAGCAAACTGTCTTAAAATCTATTTTGAGCAGCAGCCGGACAGCAAGTCGGAGCTTTAGTATTTTTTTAGTCCCCTTTTTATCCTTATTTTAATAATCACACTGGGTTGATAAGAAGGCATGATTTTGCTCCTTTTTTCATTGAGCACGCAAATTTGACCTAATGTAGTTAAATATAAATAAATAAATAAATAAATAAATAAATAAATAAATAAATAAATAAATAATGGGAGTTCTAAAAGTGGCTTTGTGCCTTTACTTTATTATCATACATTTTCTATCTTCTATCTTTCTATCTTTCTATCTTTCTATTTTTCTAACTTTCCTCTTTCTTTCTTTCATTCTTTCATTCTTTCTTTCTTTCTTTCTTTCTTTCTTTCTTTCTTTCTTTCTTTCTTTCTTTCTTTCTTTCTTTCTTTCTTTCTTTCTTTCTTTCTTTCTTTCTTTCTTTCTTTCTTTCTTTCTTTCTTTCTTTCTTTCTTTCTTTCTTTCTTTCTTTTCTTTCTTTTTTTTGTGGAAGTTTTTCCCATAAACGTCAATATGTTGTAAATTACCATAGTGAACGCTTAGCACCCCACGAAAAATGAACTTATCCTAATTTTTTCCTACACAGATCTGACAGACCTCTGTGCTCAAAGAGTGACCCTGCATGCGCAAAGAGACCAGTGTGACGCATGCGCCCGTTACCGCTCTGCGTGCGATGACAAATAAAAATGGATTTGTTTGAGGCAAATAGGCCGTGTCCAAGGTTTTATATCGGGGCGTTGCGAACCGAGAGAGCGTGGCAGCCTCCTCTCTGCAAATACCCCCTGTTATTCATAGCTCATGACCGTCTGCATTGAACATGAGGCTCAAACTTTGTCATGACCGTGTAAATAATCCTCATGCAGTCCCCCCACCCCCAGACGTTCACATAAAACAACAACAACAAAAAACACTTTCTATTAGAGGTGAAATGTTTCCCACAGGAAGCTCCAGATATGGTAAATAATAATGACAATAATAATAATAATAAAGATAGACACTGACAGCAGTTGTTGCGTCAAGCTTGTCACGCGGTTTTTGGGTGTTCTTAAAGAACTGTTGCCGCAAGCAACAAAGCAGATATAAACTTGTCATTGCAATCCGTCGCCATTCCCCCCCATTAGAACGTGCAGCCTAATTCCGGTAACTCTTCACGGCTTGATTGGTCTATAAATAGGCGGAGGCGCGATCCACTCTGTCTGTTCCAGATATATTTTACGCATGAGCGACTCACATTAGTCACATCTTCGCGGTGATGCTCAGATTGAAAAGAGACGCAAGGGGGGGGGGTGGGGGGGGTGAAGGTAAGGGCAGGGTTTTTGAACAAAAACGTAAAAAGTGGGCGACGCAACAGCTCGTTGTGAAGCTGCCCATTTCGTCGTGATTACGTGGAAATCAGACAGAGGCAACCCTGACAGGAGATCCGCACGCCAATTCACAAGACAGGTCCAAATATGCTCCAAAACTCTCGGCGTTTCCCCCGTTTCTATATGCGAAGGCCGGCTTTTGCAGCTGAAAAACTATTTGACTCATATAGCCAGCACACGTCGAGACGTAGGCTATTTGTCATATTGTGCCAGTGGTCACATGGCTTTGGCCCTCAGGAATGGATGGAGATGGATCCCCCACGTCAGCTTGTACGTCTAAGGCTTTCTGCTCCAGCAGTCTGTCTCAAAGTGGCTGGAGCGCAGAGTCGCGCAGGAACAATGCGAGGATTATTACCGTAGAACGACCCGAGCAGCAGAATATGGATTTTGATGAACGGATGCCTGGTTCCAGTATGTATCTACCAAGCTGCACTTATTACGTCTCCGGAGCGGACTTCTCGGGTCTCCCTCACTATTTAACCCAGAACCAGTCCTCCTGCCCCGTCACTTACTCGTACCAGTCCTCAGCGCTCACACAGGTTCCGTCCGTGAGAGACGTGGCTTTCAGAGACTATGGCATTGATGCTTCCAGCAAATGGCACCACACCAGGGGGAGTCTCTCGCACTGCTACGCCGAGGACGTCGCGCACAGGGACGGCTGGGCGGCCCCCACCTCCAGGGGGCCAGAGATCCTGGTGAAAGGCGGCCACTCGGGCTCCTCGAACCCGACCCCGGGATTCTGCGGTAACGTCGGCAGGAACGGCGTCTTGCCGCAGGCGTTCGATCAGTTCTTTGACACGGCGTACGGGAGCGGGGCGGGCGGCGCCGCTCCGGCTGCAGCGGACTCAGACAGAGGCGGCAAAGCGAGCCCGGCGCAGGCTCACCCGGGGTCGGACACGGCGGAGAGCTGCAGCCCGGAGTCACCGTCCGGCCACAGCGAGGAGAAGCAGAGCAGGAGCGGCAGCAGTGAGTGAGGAAGACGAAGAAGAAGGGGGGAAAAAAAATAAATAAATCTAACTCTGCTGCATGCTCTTAAAGCTTTTTATATGCAGTTTTATAAGCACGCAAGGTTTATGGAGGTCTCGGTAACAAAACTATGTTATAAACTACAACATCACGTGCTTGGAATTAAAATTGGCCGAGAAGACGTTGGTGTGAAGTTTGAGATCAAATTTGGACAAATATTTCTGCTTTTTCCCGCAAGACATTGCGCCTTTTGCAGCTCATTTCCCTCTAAAAACGTGTATTTTATTGTTTTGTCTAACTGAAAGTCAATGGGATGTGCATGTCATGTAAAAAAAAAAAAAAAAAAAAAAAAAAAAAAAAAAAAAAGCCGCCATATAACAAACTTTGCTATGAGCGGCCGGGGAATACATAATCTTAACTGAGCTGAAATAAATTTGGCAAATTGCTTTTCTGATAGCCTGAATTGCAACAGCTTCACAACTAAAAGGTGGCGATCTCTTTGTTTATGGCGTCTATAATCAAATTTTTAAAGTTGAATTCGTGTTTTTTTTTTTTTTTTTGTTAAATAAGTTTGCGTATTCAGCATGATTTCAGAGCTCCCTATGTGCTTAAGATGCTTGACTCTCAGGTGCAGCCTTTATTTACGCATGTTGCTCCTGCAGGCCTGAGAATGGGAGGGAGGGGGATGATGGGGGGGCACTTGAACTCCAAAACTCACGTACTGCAGGATCACCATGCTGGTCATGTCGAAAGAAGCAGCCCGATAATTCCACATTAGTTGCCATGGGGCGATTCAATTGTTTTTGACTATTATTGTTATTTTTTTTATTTTTTATTTTTGTCTTTATCGATGTGTTCTAGGTGGCCAGAGGACGCGCAAAAAGAGGTGCCCGTACACAAAGTACCAGATCAGGGAGCTGGAGAGGGAGTTCTTCTTCAGCGTTTACATCAACAAGGAGAAGCGACTGCAGCTCTCCCGGATGCTCAATCTGACGGACCGCCAGGTTAAAATCTGGTTTCAGAACAGGAGGATGAAAGAGAAGAAACTGAACAGAGACCGTTTACAGTACTACAGCACAAACCCTCTGCTCTGAGAAACGTCCCAAACACAAAACAAAGACTGCCGCCGAGCGCCCTCACACCAAATCAGGACAAAGGACTTGTTTATATCTTTATTATTTTTGAAAAATCTAAAAATCTTTAAATAATCCGGAGCTCTGTATTATTATTATTATTATTATTATTATTATTATTATTATTATTATTATTATTATTATTATTATTATTATTATTAAGGTTATGTAGGCACAGAAAAATGAAACCAAATTACTGTAATTTTCTAAAATAAATAAATAAATAAATAAATAAATAAATAAATAAAAAACTTTTTTTACCCCATAGAAATCAGACTACAAATATTTTGCAATGTCTCAATTATTTTATTTTATTTTTTCACATTCCCTCCCTGTGCGGAAATTACGCACGCGTTTTCGGGTTTTTCCCCATCAGAAAACGGGAAAAAAAATGGTCTCCGTCGTAACCAGAGACCATTTTATGTGCTTTGGAGCCTTAACAGTCCTCATCATGATAAAGTTGATAGTGGTCATTAGACGGAGGTTGTTTTTTTTCTGTCTTCTTCTGTCTTTCTTTTCTCCTTTTTTTTTTTATTTCATTTTAGTTTTTTAGTCTGAATGTGTTTAAATACCCTCACATTCCGGCTCATAATTTCGGTGGGTTGTTTTTCAGCTTCCTGCAAAAGGGCAAGCCACTGATGAATTAGGTCAATATCTCCAACTGAAACACGATCTGATCTGTTTTCACGGCCCAGCACCCAGATGGTATCACGGTCGTGATAGGTCTGATGTTATTTGATAGTGAAAAAGGAGTCGCTGCAGTTATCATTTGATACCCGTTAAAAAAAAAAGCCTCCCTTGATTTGAGGAAAAGCTGATGTTTGATCTGACGTGCTCGTTAGGATCACTCTGATTCAGAGACATGCGCACGTTTTGTGTTTTGATGTGCTCACAATGAGCGGTGCTGGAGCGCAACACGCGGATAAAATAGTGTAATTTAGATGGGAGAAGACGAGATTTGTACTCTTTCGGAAATATTGACAACAGCTCATCAAAATTAGATTGATTTATCCATCGTTACCAATATCTGCCTCGCCCAGCTTTGGATGTGGAGCACGACGGCCTTTTTAATCCTTATCAGGGAGACGACCACGTGTTTGACAACAACTAAAGCTTCGTATAGACCACCAGTCTCCTGGAAACAACTCGAATAAGCCAGTAAAGGTCCTGAATGAACACACCCATGGCACCAGAGCAGGAACAGAAAGAGCGGTAAATAAATGAATGCCATTATTTGTTTAAAAAAAAATCTTTCATTTGTCTACAGTCTTGGGGAGAAACCCGTTTACAATTGCAGGGACGTTAATAAATAAAGAAACAAATGAATTCATTTCAGTCCAGATGTGTAAAACGTGGCTCTATGCGGACAGCTTTATTTCCACCAGCGGGCCCCTGAAAGCAACCCGAATGGCCTGTCATAAGCTAATAAGGGTCCTGGATGAGGGCTTCACCTACACCGAGCATCCTGTTGGGCTCCCAGGAATTCCACTTTGATTGCTGCACATCCTCCCAGTTGCTCCAGTAACTTGGCCATAAAAGGGCGGATTCGTCTGGACCATTTGGAGTGCAGTGCCATAAAACGTCTGAGACCAAGGTTATTAACTAGGACTTTACAGGAGGAGGCTGAAAAAGCATTGAAACGTGTGTTAACGGACCTTCCCTCAGTCATTTGTTGCAGCATCTCACCACTTATGGTGGGAACACTCATGCTACGCTTTTGTTGTTGTTGTTGTCGTGAGTCGAGACCGCCTCTGACCACTGGGGGGCGCGCCTCAGATCAATGTCATTGCCGTGAATTGAGATTTCATATGTAAGGAGTCGGGACTGCGGCGCTCAGATGCCTTTAGAGCAGGGCTGTCAAACTCCAGTCCTCGAGGGCGGGTGTCCTGCAACTTTTAGATGTGCCTCTGCTGCACCACACCTGAACAGAATAATAGGTCATTAGCAAGGCTCAAGAACAAGGAGGAGGTAATTAAGCCATTTCATTCCAGTGTTTTGTACCTGTGGCACATCGAAAAACTGCAGGACAGCGGCCCTTGAAGACTGGATGTTGACACCGCTGCTTTAGAGTATGTTGCCACCAAAGGATTTAACGAAGGTAGGCCAAGGAATATTATCATGTGCTTGTATTTTACGACACGATGATTTTTGCTAGGTGATTTAAGGGAGAGCCATCCCAGAACATGTCCATGTGAGAGTCACAAATCTGAAGGTGCTGTGTTTCATGTAATGGTATGATTTAATGGAGGCATTGCAGGAACACAACCGACAGATATTTGGTAACGGAAACATTTATTTTTGAGCAGCATACATAATGTGAAGGCATGTTTAGTTCTGGTCATAAATAACATTTGTAAGAGGACTGGTTTTCTATTTCAAATGTGAATATATATATATATATATATATATATATATATATATATATATATATATATATATATTCTTGGTCACTGAAGCCATTACGCGTGCGTACATTCAGACACCAAGGTGGTATTCTCGCACAGACTCTAACTGCCCCTTTACAACAACACAGAAAATAATAAAACAAAACTTTGCCTATGAAACAGTATGTTTTATGAGAGAAGTGATTCAATGATAATAAAAAGAGCATACTGAAACATGACAGGAAATAATCCACCGGGGGTTAATGGATATTTTCTTCTTCGCTGTTTGACTGGAGCAAGTCTGACGCCATATAAAACCCGGGGCTCTTATTTCTAGACTTTACGGCTCCAGACTTTAAGGAGGGAGATAGACGTGACCGCGGTGGAGTATTTCAGGCCAAAGCCCATCTTCAGAAACGTTTCTGGCTCGCACTAAATCTGCAGGCCTGCGCTTTAGACAACAATTTGGCTGAATTGGTTTTCTCCAAAGGAGGTGTGTGGGATTTTTTTTGTGTGTGTGGGCCTTTTGTTTTGGTTGAGTTCTATAACTGAAACAATCCGGGAAAAGGGTCAATGTTTACTGGGTTGCATGTGTAACAGCCGAGGATGAGCGTCACGCGAACTGATCCATGACCGACATTTAAAGTGGAATCATGCTGACCAACAACAACAAAAACATTCTGAACAGGAAGATCATAACAATCAATGTGGAATACAGAAATGTAGACTTATTTTCTACTCAATGTAACTTAATTTTCTTATTTAAGTAATAATTAATTATCCTAAGAAGAAGCCTTTGTGACCTTTCAGTACAAAATAAATGAATAGCTAAATAATGAAATAGATAGATATAAAGTATCAAGTAGTTCATTCATACAACATGCTGTCTGCCTTGCAGCCTCGCCTGTATTAGATCTACTTTAAATAAATGTTCCTCCAGGGTATTGTTCAGCTCTGGCGGTTATACATCCAGTGTGTAGTGAAAGTTGTGGGCTATTGACACCATCATGGCATTTGCGCCCACAATGTTACAGTTAAACTTTACACCACAACTGGCTTTGCTTCGGTATGTGCAGCATCGCGACCGGGCGAAACACAATGCAGGCCCAGATGCTGCATGGGAGTTTTAACAGTGAAGTCCAACAATGATGTTCAGAGCTGCAGAAAGGCAGAGAGTTCCTCCTCGACGGGAGATTGTTTTGGGTCTTTCACTCTTACTTCCTACAGGCGCCTCTCCAAGCCCTCATTTTTACAGTGCTGTAAAAGTGGCTGTAAAACGACGCATTGTGCACCGTTATTGGGGACAGCCTTCAGCAACTAACTTGTTAACCTCGGGGTTCTGGTTGCTTGGAAGGCGCCTCAGTCCTCGGTGATCATTTGCGAATTATCGTGATATTTCTTCTCCTCCACCCCCCAAAAGCTAAATGCAGCACACGTATCTTTAAGAGTTTTGTCTTTACTTGGACTAAAACAAAATATACGACACATTAGAGTTGGCTGCTCGGTCTGGGAGGAGTCTGCAGTCGGCTGGTGTTTTAATTGGCTGCAGTCTTCAGTGAGAAGCGTGAGTATCAGTAATTATTCAGCAATGTTTTTGCACAAGAAATGTCAGCCAGAGAGGGCCATCTTCATCCGCCGCCAAATAACAGCGCGACGATGTCATGTTCCAACAACCAGGCTGGGAACTCCTTCTTTGTGGACTCCTTAATAAACGTGAGAAGCGACGGCGCTCCGTATTATCCAAGTAACAGCCTGTATTTGCCACCGGCTTCGGAATATTCATATGGGATCTCCAGCGGCTCCTGCTTCCCGGCAGTCGGGAAGCGCAGCGAGCCAACGACCCACAGCGTGATTCCGTCCGCGGTTCCGTATGTTCAGGGGATGGAAACGTGGCTGGAAACGTCCAGGTCCTGCCGAGTGGATCAACCCTGCAGCGGGCAGCATTTGGCTCAGTGTTCATTTTCGCCGAGCATAAAGGAGGAGAGCGCCTGCTGCCTTTACGAGACAGACAAATGTCATAAAGGAGCGTCAGTGGATGACATGTCCTACTCCACCGCGTCCTGCCCCGTTACCCCCGGCAACACCGTGCCAGTCCCGGGTTACTTCCGCCTGTCTCAAACCTACGCGTCCTCCAGGTTGTATCACGATGTTCAGCCAGACATGAATCACTTCAGTCTGCAGCGACCCGGCCGCTTTGAAGGCCAGCCCTCACAGCCGCAGTCTGCCTCTGCGGAGCCGGAGCGCGGGGAGAGCCACGAGGAGGCGCCCGGCTCTGCGCCGTGCGCTCCGGCCAGGGAGGAGGAGGACACCCGCCTCTCCTCGGAGAGCTCGTCGTCCACTGAGCCTGCAGAGACGGAGTGTCCAGACAAGTCCGTAAAAGGTGAAAACTTGAGAAGCTGTTGCAGAATGACGCCAAAAAAAAAAAAAAAAAAAAAAGATAAACCTTCACAGAGCCGTGTTTTTTTTTTTTGTTTTTTTTTTAAGTGGGCGGTTATTGTTTTACGGCCAATTAAGGTTTCGGATGTATGATAGAGGAGTAGTTTCAGCTTTAGCTGAAACAGGAACTCTCATGTCTGCGTTTGTTTGGGCTGAGACAAATTTGACCATGACTTGGCCAATCACAGCCTCGTATTGGGTCTATTGTGCCTGTTTAGCTGTATTTAAAATGGAACCAGGCCTCAGTTAGTTGCCCCTTTGTGTGGCATCATTGCTTTTCCATTTGCTTTTATTGGCACCATCCCTGACCTCAGCAACTGAGCGTGGAAATCATTAATTTAAAACATTACATTAACGAGTAATGAACAGGAAAGTTTGGCGCACGGTGTTCATAGCTAATTTATACACTGTAAACACATTTCATTTGTTTTAACAGTAACATGACTGCTTATTCGCAACGGTTTTTGTCATTAAAGGGATGAACAGTATTGCTTACATCATTTTGCTTCAGATTTTCCATGCTTTAGAGAAATAGTCTGAGATACAAGCTTTTAAATTGTAGTAATACTAAAAGGGATGAACAATCAGAACTCATAACATTCAATTTATTTAATTTATATTGCTTAATTTCACGACCGATGTAACTGTAAGGCTCTTGCAGCACACACACATACCCACTCACAAAATCAATCTGTAAGTATATGAATTTCAAACTATTCAATTATCCAACCATACAGAGAATCTCAGATTCATTTACAAACACTCCAACTTGATCTTAGACTGCATTGGAGTCAAATTCAGTTTCTAATAGTAACCGCTGTAAAACTGTGCATAAGGAAGCTCAGTCAACTTCAAGGAATGAATGAACTGATCTTGAGATAAAGCAGACTACCTTGTTGGTTGAAGTAGAAAAACTTGCACCGATTGTTATTCCTGAATTTACCTGAGCTTAAAGATAACATTTCCCCCCGGTAGACGGATTAGGTCGGACTGCAACATAAATCAGAGCAATAGTTTCTGAGGTTTTGTAACAGAATTGTCTTTTTATTTCAATTTGAAACTAACACGATTTCCCGGTTTGTAGTGGTAGAGTATTGACATCATGTTGTACTTTAGTGTAACCTTAATTTGACTGCTAAATTAAAATAGGAGAGGAACTGTGGTTTGGTGCTGTAGCAACAAAGAATCAATGTTTTTGTTGCTTAAATAGTTCAAGTTAGTTCGTTCGCATCACTTCTTGCTGCTGACACAACGACCAGTCTGTCACTTGTCTGCACATGTATCATTTATTGTAGATTTGCAATGAAATCTGATACAAAAAGTTCCATGTTGTAATCCAAATTACAATAAGTAGGAACTAAAGTTAAAAACAGCAAGAGGTTCATGCTGAAATGAAGTGGGCAACATGGCGCAATAATGTTGATTGATTATTATTCCTTAATTTCCACGCGAACTAAAGACATTTCTTCCTGTAGTAAAAATCATGAATAGGTAATTGATCATGTGGTTTATATGGTCATTTATCAACAGTACATTTTACAAGGGTTACAGTTAAACCCTTTAACTGGTAATTGTGCCGTAGCGGGGACTTTATTTATTGTTATTTGAGTTATAAGAAATTAAGTTGTCTGTCAAAAAACAACTTACAATTTATTAAAGACATTTATAAAATTTTGAGAGGGGCGTTCCTGGTATAAATGAAACATGTTTCGCTTTAGTCAAATCTGTGCGTAAAATTGCCATAAAAACTAAACAAACTCTGTGTAATAGTTTTTTTTTAACTCAAATTCTAGCATTTATGACCCCGACATTAAATCTCACATGTTCTCAAGCAATTTATTGTTTATGTCTCCACAACCCACACCTTGTCTTTTATGATACTTGTTGCCTCTATAGTAACACTGCGATGCATTTCCCGCCGTTGCAGGAGAAGGAAAAATGCAGAGCACGGCCAACTGGCTGACAGCAAAGAGCGGCAGGAAGAAGCGGTGTCCCTACACCAAGCACCAGACTCTGGAGCTGGAGAAGGAGTTCCTCTTCAACATGTACTTGACGCGGGAGCGTCGCCTGGAGATCAGCCGCAGCGTGCACCTCACCGACAGGCAAGTCAAAATCTGGTTCCAGAACCGGAGGATGAAACTGAAAAAGATGAGCCGTGAAAACAGGATCCGGGAGCTCTCCAGCAACTTTGGGTTTTCGTGAGACTTTGATGAGAGACGCCCTCTTCCTGTTCCTCCTTCCCTCTTCCTCTTCTTCCTCCACCCAAACTGTGAGAGTGCCCTTGGAGAAACGGGACCCAACTGCTAACTTATTGATCAGAGCTGTTCTTGTCTTGGATTTGTATTTATACGCGGTCACATTTGAAACATCCAGTTGTTCAGGCTTGTACATAATTATGCGCTCAATCTGAGTGATCCGTTGGATTTTGCATGCTGGACTCACCACTGGCTCATCTGTGTTACAGTTACATGTAGGCCTTAATGTGATGGGGAAAAAAAGAAACAAAAAACGGAAAAAAAAATAAAATACAAGAGGTCTGGTGAATATTTGCACATTAGCTGCTCAGATGAATAAAAAAACAACATAACCGCACAAAACCACAGGCTTTGTGCGTTGTTGTAAATGTTTATTTTGTGCACTATTTTTGATTTATTTTCTTTTTTATATTTATTACTATTCAGCGGAATTTCTGCACAGCAAACTTACTTTTTTATTTTTTAGGGGGACGGTGGAATCGACATGTATCAGTATTTTTACGACCTAATTTTTACCAGTCCTGATTTAGCAACAACAAATAGGCCTATGTTAAATGTAACTTTTTTTTCAGCCCACAGGCTAAAGAAAAACCTCAAAACCAAGGCTTTGTTAGTGATTTAACTCACTAATAAAGCTTCTATAGCGAGTTCAGGCAAAGCATCGACCGTCCTTACAGGTAGTTTGGACGGCGGAAGCCTCGGCTTTTCCATGCAATTTGCGCGCAATTTTACTGGCGGAGGAAACTTTTGTGTCCAGAGTTAAAATAAGAGCAGCATCTGACGGAGGTTCACCAGGAGTGACGAGAAATGTTCCAACCAAGGGGGGAAAGTGTGAAGATGCCTGGAGATCCCCGAGCAACAAACTGTGCTCGACTCACCGATGTGTTGTGGAATTGCTTCGAGTTAGGCTTATTTAACTCGAACAGGTTTTCAACAACACTCTGACGTCATTACGCACTCTCATATTGGCTGGACTTCTTTTGGGCTCCACTTTTCTGTCGTGACGTACGCAGAAGGAAACACAACCACCTTATCCAACTCCGACACTTATTTTGTAGTGGTTGCCTGTGGCTGGGTTGTTAGATATCCTCTGTATTTATTTGGTTATCAGATGTCTTGCATTTATAAACTACTAGATGAACAACAGTAGCCCACAATGATCTATGCGCGTACTCGCAGACTGGGTCTTTTTTTAAATTGTTATTTCTGAAATCACGCATTTTAAAATATATAAATTAAATGTATGTGCATGGGTTACTTTTCAAGCAATATATGGATAAAAAAACATGTTTTTACTCCTAAAATTACACAGAACTATTTAAAAAACAAAATAAAACCCAAAAACAAACAAACAAAAAAATCAATCGTCTTGCAGGAGAGCAGGCTGTTGCGTGGTTTAGGTAGTCTCATGTTGTTGGGCTATTTCTTTTATGTTCCCACAACACGAAACTGCCTTGATTACCTCAGTGAAATTCGTCGTATAATTAAAAGTAAACCACGTTGGATTATGTTCATTAATAATTTGGGACGGAGTGCGTCGGCACTTTAAAGCTGCAGTTCAGAAGCACCGACCTGGGCAGGGGATGTGGCTGTGCGTAAAATGCAACAATCACGTAGGAGAATTCTTTATATATATATATATATATATATATATATATATATATATATATATATATATATATATATATATATATATATATATATATAATTAGCTTGACAGAAAAATCATAGAATTGATATTTAATTATAGACTGGAGTAATAATAATAATAAAAATAGATTCAATCGTTTTTTAATTTTTCTTTTCTACGTCCAGTAGAAAAGTGTGGACAGACAAGGCCTCGGTTATGATCACTGCAGTCTCGCCAGTTGCTTAAAAAAAGAAAAAAAAAAATGCCGGATGCGTCTGCTCGGACCGTGCAGAGAAAGAGGACAAAGGCTGAGCTTTATTGGTGATATTTAGCTTAGACAGCCCGGCTGTAACCTGAAGAAAAACAATCCAATTGCCCGTGATAAAGTGAACCGTTATATGGCACCTAAATAACTGCAGCCCTGCTGTTTTCCCCATCTTGGAATGCCTTCAAAGACCCAACTTGGCTATCTCTTGGAAACTTTCCTCCAGGTTGTTGGCAATATATTAAATCTAATCACACATTTCATAAGTTTTTAAGAAGGTATCAATAAAAGGTAGGAGCACCAATTACATTTTAGTTGTTCTAAAATTTAATTTTAAAGTCTAGCAAATTTTCACTTCTGTACATTTTTAGAAGCATACGGATTTTTTTATTTTATTTTTTTTCTCCAAAAAGAAGCTTTGAACAACCAATAACCTTGTTCAAATATACACACAGATGTCCTCTCTTACACTAAAGCGAGATCCCTCGACTAAAATCACTACATTTATTGCTTATAAAAAGAAATATTTGCCAATAAAAGAGGGAACGTTTGCTATTAAAATATGGTCAGTGAAAATGGTGGCCCCCTTTTTAAGCCGAGCGGTATACAGGCTGATTTATTATTTATTGTTCTGTCCCACGGTCACGTGTTTTGGGGCGCCCTATCCAGTTTTGGACAGGGTTCAACTTACTGGACGGAAGGAGCTTGGAGGTGGCGCACCAACACGACACCTTGCAATGGAATGAATCCCTTCTCTCGTCATTGCAGGATTGTTAAACCAAGATTTTTATTTTTTATTTTTTTTACATCCTTTTTTATTTGGTACCTTGCAGTTTTTTTTTCTATACTCCGGTGCAATGGGGACGAGCTACTACGTTGACACGCGCATTCTTTCGGAGCAAGAAGAAATGGCACCGATGAGGTACTCAACCTCTGCAGGAATGGAGCAGGCGGCGCACACCGAATATGGCGGACAGGAGCCGAAATCCTCTATTTTCAGTGGATCCTGGAGTACCATCGCGGCGCATCCTCCCAACGCATATGTACACCATCAATACAGCGGGGAAGCCGATGGCATGTTCGCGCGTTCCTGGGCGTTGGACCCGGTCTCTGCGTCGCTGTGCTTGACGGGAATCCCGTCTGCAGCCGCGCATTACGAGATAAAGCCCGAGCCGCCGCTCGGTGGTGCCGAATGCACGACTCTGGAGACGCACGCACCGCTTTTGTCTGACATTGAAAACGGAGCTTCCCTCACGGAGATCCCCTGCGATACATCCCCCACATCTGCAGCCAGCGACGACAAGCTGACGGTAGAGAAAAGGGAGGCGGTTGATGCAAGTAAGCAACGCAACGCTTTTCCTTATTGATGCAAGTGCGTGGCCTAATAAGTCAGGTGGACGTGGGCTATGTGCATGAAAATGTTTTGACAAATATAGGAGGGTCTTAATCTGAGAAATAAATCCTGTGCATGATGGGACGGGGAGGTGGGAGGAAGGTGGAAACATTTGATGAAATGTTGGTTTCCCTGTGTTTGATTCAAAATGGAACTTAAAACAGCAATAATAATAAAAAAATACTGAAATAACTCTATCAATGTTCAGTATTAATATTGGCGATATCTTCCTCCAGACAACCCGTCGTCCAACTGGCTACACGCAAAACCGACCAGAAAAAAGCGCTGCCCCTACACCAAGCACCAAATCCTGGAACTGGAGAAAGAGTTTCTCTTCAACATGTACCTCCCCCGGGAGCGCAGGTACGAAGTGGCGAGGCTCCTGAATCTGACAGAGAGGCAGGTGAAAATCTGGTTCCAGAACCGCAGAATGAAGATGAAGAAGGAAACCAGAGACAGAAGGAAAGACAGCTAGTGGCCCTGTGCGTTTAAACTGGTGGAGGGGGATGGAAGAGGGGCGGAGAGGGGGACTTATAATTCCTGGTACGTGTTGTTGTAAATTTGTGTTGTTAAAACAACGCTGAGTGTCATTTCCCCCTCCCACACACACACACTGATTTTCCGTGATTGTGTCTCGTTGTGTATTTAGATATTCTGTATTTTTACGCACACAGTGTGTTGACTCTGTAGGCCATTTATGATTTGCATGAATCTTTACTTGACTACCTATAGCCTGTCGATATCCTCCAGCTACCTACCTGCATTGATTAACTTATTTTTTATTTGTATTGCGGCATTTGTGTTTAAATGTTTGGATGCATTTGTGAAAACCCTGCGCACACTTGAAATACCTCACATGTACTGATTTTATTTAAAATAAAGTGCAGTTTGTCTCATACATTTGGACGTGTTACGTCACAACGATTTCTTTTCATTTGAATGAAGAATAACACGTCATGTTTTTGCACACGTATGATAAACACATCACGCTGCAGTGTGGGCCAGAATCGGCCAAAAATAAAACAAATTCAAAAGATGAGTTTCGGTTTTTGAATTTGGTTCCAACTGACTGAATGTTTAATTTCCAAAGCTAGAAAATATTTCAACTTCGAGCAGAGGGGGAAACAGGTCATTTGAAGAAAATGCAAAAAAAAAAAAAAAAAAAAAAAAGGGCACGTTGTACAAAAAAAGCTCATTTTTATTTTTTTATTTAATGTAAGAAACTGACTTGAAAGATAAGAACGTTAGTAATGATTATGGGCCATTGTTCTAAAATGATTAGGATTTATAACAAACCCATTTACTTTATATATATATATATATATATATATATATATATATATATATATATATACATTGTTGTTATTTTTATTGTTTTGTTTGCTTTTAAAGTCCTGCATCCAAAATGCATATATTCACACTTGGCTGGCAGAAGTATTTCATTTCAGGGCAATTGTTGCAAAGCTGATGGAAATGATCTGACTAAAACGTACTCTACAAGTTTCTGAACATTTACATCTTTTAGCATTGCAATTTTTCCTTGTTCCTACTTTTATTTGTTTGTTTTATTTTCTATTCATATTCAAGCCGGTAAGAAGGGCTATAAGCACTGTTGGCAGTTCTGTAAAGTTATTAGGGCTGTTTTTGTACTGATAAAGGGACTCTAACAAAAAAAAAAAAATAAGCAAACAAACAAAAAAAAAACATTTTATCTTATTTTTACAATCTTTGTTGTGATTTCTTATTGAGTTAAAACATAATTTTAAAAAAAATTTAACATTTAAATTTTTTTTAGCTTGCGACTGTTACTAACCAAAGAAATTCCTTTAAATAAAGGCGTATGCATTTTAGCTTGGGGAAAAAAATAGTAGTAATATAATAATAATAATAATAATAATAATAATAATAATAATAATATACACCATTAAGATCCACACAGCTATTTTCCGATTCACGGCATCCGTCCAGGCTTTTCTGGAATGCGCGCTCCCTTTTCGCTCTGTGAACTGTAGCTGCCTTCCTCAGCCATCACAACCTGACTGTTTATAAGGTGCGAAAACAGTGCAGCGTGCAGATGCTCACTGG